GAATTTGTATTTGTGTATGTAATACTTTGCAATAATAATGAGTAAGTTGATTAAAAAAACTTTGTCTTCCATTACATTGTCATTTGCAAAAAAAAATAAAAATAAAAAAACGAAGATAAAGTGCTTATAAAGCAGCTGATAATCTTTATACATCTGAACCCAGTGCACATTTGATTCTTCTTGCTTTGAATTGCATCAGTTTCTGCTTCCGCTTTTTGCTTGTTGGAAATATCTAACATTCGGATGTTTTTAATGACGCACCCATAAATAGGTTTAAACTCTTGCAAAGCTGACCAAGAGGTAGGTCCCTGATGGATAATGAAAAGTATTATTTTCCCCTACAGCTTATTGACCTCTGACTTTACCATGAAAAAATGTCTCGTGATGATCGCAAATGTGCATGGCATAATTTACAACTGTGTAGTTATTTGTGTGTAACTTTGAATAACTGAAAATGTTTATTGTAATCCRCACACAAATATTAAAGAAAATTAGCACGTTAAACAACTTTACAAAGTCGAACAGTAAAAAGTGAACAAATCTTGATTTTTTTTCTATTTTCAGGAACCATCTGCATTTCTATGGCCATTTATGTAGCTAGCAGATTCATCTCTCCTCAACGTACCCTACATGGCGAGCTGGCTGTCATCTCAGCCATTAGGTGGACCAAATGGACACTGAGATGCATCAGGACAAATGGACAAAAGAACTTCTCAAATAGTTAAGAATTCTGTCATGATCTGTGTTTATTTTCCTTAGTTTTCTAGTGTTTCTGTGTATCTCTCCCCTGCTGTCATTCCTCYAGCCCCGCCCATGCTCACCTGTTTCCTCTTGTGTCTCCTCCAGGCGTTTCTTGTTAACCCAAATTAGTTTACCTTTACATTCTGTGTCCTGTCTTCAGTGTTTGTCCATTCATTGTGCTGGTTCYCCAGTCAGTTTRGTTGTGTTCTTYGTGTTTGCCCCCTGAGATCTCCTTGTGAGTACTTTGAGCTGCCTCGTCAGCCTTTTTGTTTGTTTATTGAAGCCTTTTTGTTACTTTTTGGATTTCTGCCTGCGCACGTCTGGGAGCTTGGGGGTTTTGCTTAGTATTTTAGCTGTTTCCAAGACTGCAGAGTTTTGGACAGAAAACTCTGCAGCTGTTCCTAGATCTGTTGAAGTCACACTTGCTGTTTGAGGRTCACAGCACAGAGTGCTCCAATTACTGAGATCTTGATTTATCTTCATCTTGCCTCTCTGGTTCCTGTTTCAGCCCTTAGAAATCCAGCTTCTCGTGCTTCTTTTTCCTGATGTTACAGTCACTTGGGATTAACACATCACCACTGTCTGCTTCTGTTGTCTGTTCTGTCACAGTGTCCAATTGGTTAGCCATCAACTGTTTATCAGACTGAATGTGGAAGTCACACTTTGTCTTGGCACTTTTATTTTCCATCACACTTGGAGTGTTTCACTTTGACTGAGGAAACTTCAGTCTATACTGAGTACAGATGTTCTTGAACACTATTCCAGCCACTTGGCATTCCACACATACTTTGCCTGCCTGCATATTGCATTCTACCATTACGTGCTAGATCATCTCAGGGGCATCTTTGTCTGCCTGCATCTTGGGTCCTGCTTGGTACAGTGGACCCCTG